CACCTAGCAGGCCTGGGGATTGAACTCCCAGCACCTGCACCCGCTTGCAGGTGCTTTAATCAGCTGAGCTATTTGGCTGGCCCTTAGAAATTGTATTTTTAAAATCTGAGAAATCAATGGTTCAGTTAAATTGGTCATCTAATTGAAAGCAAAAACTAATGCTTTATATTTATATTTACCTACTTTATTTCATAAGTGTATTTATTGTCGGGTCTCATTACATAGATGTGTTCAGCCTCCCAAAGAGCTGGGATTACAAGAGTGTGCCACCATGCCCGGTCTCAATTGCTGTCTCAGCATGCCCTGGTGGGCGGGGCCGGCCTAGCAGGCCCAGGGATTGAACTCTCAGCACCTGTGCCTGCTTGCAGGCGCTTCCACTGAGCTATTTGGCCAGCCCTTAAGGAAACTTATTTCTAAGTCATGAGTCCTAAACAAATCTCATGAAAATGACATTCAAAATAATGATACTTAATAGAGATTATAACACATATGAAGTACCCATGAGGAAGCAGAAATAGAATTTCATATCTACAGTTATGTCTTAGAGAATGAAAAATGAGTTATACACACAAACTTCTTGGAATTTGCATTTTGTGAGTATGAACTATGAGCTATTTTTCTACAAAATATTCCATTATATATTTACATAACTATTTTAACTAGAAATCCTTGTAAATATATTGAAAGTTTGACATACCTCAATTTATTTAAAATAAATTGTTAAAACCTGTGTATTGACATGGTGAAGTAATGAAATAGAAATTACAATAGATGACACATTCAGAAACTATAATCTATACTCAGAGTTATGCTTTTATAATATATCTTCTTTTGTGTATTCCATGAAAAGTAAGATAAAATAAGTGATGTGTTCAGTCTGTGATCAGGATTTCACTAAAATTTACCTCCTTTTGGTTTATTACAACTAACTCTAAACTGAGGAAAATTTAATCTTTACTTTTTTTTTTTTTTTTTTTTTTTTTGCGGAACCAGGGATTGAACTCAAGACCATGCACTTGCCAGGCAAGCAGTTATTCTACTGAGCTATCTCCCCAGGCCACAGCTATTAATAAACTTTAAGGCACATACTGAAATTGCAACTAAAACACTTAATTGCATATTAATAAACTGTATATGCAATACTAATAAAATATGCAACCAAAAATAGTTTGGGATAAGCCACTATAATATTGTATATATCCATCCCAGAATGAATATAAATATATTTCAAGAACAAATGTGAGGGCTGGTGAGATGGCTCAGTGGTCTAAAGCACCTACTTAGAACAAGCTTAGCAAAGCACAGGGACCACGGTTCAATCCCCCAGCACCACATGCCAGC